TTTCTTTTTTTTTTTCTGAGACAGAATGTCACTCTGTAATCCAGGCTGGAGTGCAGTGGTGCGATCTCGGCTCACTGTAACCTCCGCCTCCCTAATCCAAGTGATTCTCCTGCCTCAGCCTCCCGAGTAGCTGCGATTATAGGCACCCACCACCGCATCTGGCTAATTTTTGTATTTTTAGTAGAGATGGGGTTTTACCATGTTGGCCAGGATGGTCTGGAACTCCTGACCTCAAGCGATCCACCACCCTCGGCCTCCCAAAGTGCTAGGATTACAGGCATAAGCCACAGCATCTCGCCTCCCTTCTTTTCATCCTTGATTGGACTGAAAAGTTGCTTTTAATCTAAAAGTTACTACCTCATGAATCTGTCTCATCCCATGGTGTTATTCTTCCTAGTATCACATCTGACATTCTGTTGTGCATTTGTGTGTGTGTTTATTTATTGTCTGTCTCCCTCATTGTACTATAAACTCCATGGCAAAAGGGAATCTGTCCACTTTGTTAATACCTGTATCTCCAATGCCTCATCCAATGCCTGACATAGTCAATGCCCAGTTGATATTTGCTGCATGAATGGACTCTCAGGCAATAGCTACCATCCATTAAGCACTTCCCACATGCCAGACACTGTTTTAACCACTTTATTGAAATTATCTCACTTAACCCTCAGAACAATCCTATGAGGTGGATAGTCTTATTAACCCCATGATATGGTTTGACTGTGTTCCCACCCAAATCTCATCTTGAAATGTAGCTCCCATAATCTCCATGTATCATAGAAGGGACCCAGTGGGAGGTAGTTGAATCATGGGGCTGTGTCTTTGCCATGCTGTTCTCATGATAGTGAATAAGTCTCATGAGATCTGATGGTTTTATAATGGGGAGTTCCCCTGCACAAGCTCTTGCTGGCCACCATGTCAGACATGACTTTGCTCCTCATGAGCCTTCTGCCATGATTGTGAAGCCTCCCCAGCCAGGTGGAACTGTGAGTCAATTAAACCCCTTTCCTTTGCAAATTATCCAGTCTTGGAAATGTCTTTATTGGCAGTGTAAGAACAGACTAATACACTCCATTTCATAAAGAAGGGAACTGAGGCACAGAAATATTGAATAAATTTGTCTAAAGACAAGGTGGTAATAATACCCAGGCAGCCCAGCCCCAGATCCCACACTCTTAGCAACTGGATTCCCATACCCTTGATACAATAGACCTTTAGACCTCAACCTCTTTACAGCTTGGGTTCCATGAAGCTCTGACTATATATGATTAGGTCAGAGGAGCAGGGATTGCAAGCCAAGCCTTTAATCAGAACCCTTCACCAAAGCTTTTGTCCTTTCTTTATCTATTCACCAGCAGCTCCTGTATACTGTGTTCTCATTTATCTCTTTAATACTTACCACTTATATGATGTTTCTCCACTCTCTGAGTAGAGACTTTACGGGTATCCACCAGAGTACCTAATGTATATCCACCTTAGGCCTATGTACAGGCATTTGCCCACAGAAAGTAGATGCTAAATACTTTTTGGAAAAATTTCTGGATGAATAAAACATTTTGAAATGCTTTTCAACAGAACACAGCAAGGCTGTTTAATAAAAGAGAGCTATAAAATGCAAGAATGCTTACAAAGCAAGCAGAATTCAATATAAATATTCTTTGTCTTAATAAACCAAACTCTTCATATTTCTCCCCCTCAGAACCTTTGCACTTGCTGTTTCCTTTGCTTGAAACACTTGCTCCTTCCAAGCTTTCTGCCTTTTAACCTCTTCCTGGTCTTCCAAATCTCAGCAAAGATTTTTCTGATTCCTACTCCAAAACATTCCTTCATAGCATTCACTAGAGCTTGCAGTTAATGCATTTTCTTCCATGGTTCTTCAGCTGATGTTCTTCTTGCCTAACAGAATCTAAGCTCCATGCAGGCTAAACAGACCATGTCTATTTTGTTCACCATCCCCTTCCAGGACACAGCTCAGAATAGGTACATAATGCATGAATGCAGTTTTGAAATATCAAGTTTACAAATATAAGGACCTTTGCTTTAGTGGGTATTTTTTCTTAAGTAGTGACTTAAGTAGGACATATTCACCATTTTTCTCTACATTGTGTGCAGTATAGCATATCTTCATGGTACCCCCACCCCACTGGGAATAAGTACCAATACTGCAGATTGATTTTGAGCATGGATGTTGGTCCTGGGTTTGAATCCTGGCTAATTAATATAATCAGTATCTTAACTCTCTACCACTTCAAAATGTTGTTTCAAAGTGCTTTGGACAAGAATGAGAACAGCATAGACTTAAAAAAAAAAAAAAAACTGGTAATACTGAGAGGATATGGAGCAACTAGAATTCTCATATTCTGCTGTTGGGAATCTAAATTAGTAAAATTTTACAAAGCAATCCATCAGTATCTGTTAAAGATGAGGAGGCACATACTCTAAAACATAATAAATACACTTCCATGTATACATTCCCCCAGATAAACTTTCATATATAAGTACTTCTCATGGAAAGTCATGTCAAGACATTAACTTTGGTTTATAACAGCAAAATCCTGGAACCAATTTAAAAGAATGAACATATTTAATATAATAAATTATAAATAAATAAATAAATAAATCAGTAAGTTCCTACAGCAGAATGCTATATAGGCATTCAAATGGGTGAACTAGATCTTCATGTAGCAACAAAAATGGGTCTCAGAAATACAATGTTGAATGACAAAATCAGTGTATAGAATGGCAGTTTCAGTATAAAAGAAAGCAAAAGGCTGGGCACAGTGATGTGCACCTGTAGTCCCAGCTACTTAGGAGGTTAAGGTGCAAGAGTCACATGAGCCCTGGAGTTCAAAGCTGTAAAGCACCATGATTGCACCTGTGAATAGCCACTGCACTCCAATCTGGGCAACATAGCAAGACCCTGTATCTAAAAAAGAAAGAAAGAAAGACTATGTAGGCCGGGCGCGGTGGCTCAAGCCTGTAATCCCAGCACTTTGGGAGGCCGAGGCGGGTGGATCACGAGGTCAGGAGATCGAGACCATCCTGGCTAACATGGTGAAACCTCGTCTCTACTAAAAATACAAAAAACTAGCCGGGTGTGGTGGCGGGCGCCTGTAGTCCCAGCTACTCGGAGGCTGAGGCGGGAGAATGGCGTGAACCCGGGAGGTGGAGCTTGCAGTGAGCCGAGATCGCGCCACTGCACTCCAGCCTGGGCGACAGAGCGAGACTCCCGTCTCAAAAAAAAAAAAGAAAGACTATGTAGACGTGGCACTGGTCACTGCACACAGCCTGCAGCATGGTGGTTGCATCTAGAGAAAGAAGATGGAAAAGAATGAGAACAGAGCTTCTTCAGAGGAGACTTCGACTGTATCTATAGTGTCATTTCTTTCTTTAAATAAAGCTGAAGTAAATATGGCAAAATGTTAAAATTTGTTAAATCTGAGTGATGAGTACACCAGGTTTTGCAGGTGTGTTTATTATAAGACATTTTTACATGGGAACCATTGTATAACATTTTAAACGGCTACCAAGAAAGGAAGAGAGACAGAGAGAGACTGAGAGAAAGATCTGGATTCTAGCTCTGCCATTGGACTTCAGACAAGGAATATAAGCTTTCTGAGAACTTAGCTTGCAAAATAGCATTATCAGTGTTCAAATTTCAGGGTTGATTGTGAGAATGAATGAAAATAAATGTGTAGAATGACTTCTAGATATTATTCATTGGAATATCATTTTGGAGTGAGTCCCTAATGACTTTCTAAACATGCTTAATTCAGGGAGACTTTTTAAAAAAAACTGATCAGAAACTATATAGATGTATTTTCAAAACAAATATGACCCCACAAAAAATAATACATTGCTGCTGTTCGTGCAAAAACTATATATGAGGTTTGCAAAAGTAATTGCGGTTTTGCCCGTTACTTTTGCACCAACCTGATACATGCACATTGTATGGACATATATAAGCATAGATTATTTATTAACTGTAGTTTCCCTGAGGGAGGGGAATTTTGATGATTGGAGAACACGAGTAGAAGGAAAATGTACTTTTCCTTGTTATTATTTTTGATTATGTATGTATATGTAGATTACCTATTCCAAAAATAAATGCAATTTATTTTTAAATTAATCTGAAGGTCACAATCTTCTCTGCACCTCCAATTTTAAATCTACTTAAAAAGGAAAGATCCTAAAATCCAAGCTCTGAAGAGGTTCTTAAGAGGTTATATGGTCCAGTCTGTTTCCCGAACACATATAGCAAGAAATGCCACCTCAGCCCCAAATTCTTCATGCAACTGAACACAAGAAAGAGCATGAGATGTGGGATCAGGAGATCCTATTACCATGAATTATCAACTGTGTGGTTCTAAGCAAGTTGCTTAAACTCTCAGAGCCCCAGTTTCATTCCTAAGATGAGGATAATGGCGGCTTCACCTCTCACGGTTGTGTAAAGAGAACTCCGGCATCACCTCTCATGGTTGTGTGAGGAGAATGGCGACTCCACCTCTCATGGTTGTGTGAGGAGAATGGCAACACCACCTCTCATGGTTGTGTGAGTCTCTCAGAGCCCCAGCTTCATTCCTAAGATGAGGATAATGGCAGCACCACCTCTCACAGTCGTGTGAAGAGAATGGTGGCACCACCTCCCATTGTTGTGTGAAGAAAATGGCGGCAACACCACTCATGGCTGTGTGAGGAGAATGGCGGCACCTCCTCTCATGGCTGTGTGAGGCTCTCAGAGCCCCACTTTCATTTCTAAGATGAGGGGAATGGGGGCACCTTCTCTCATGGTTGTGTTAGAATATAAGCACAACTTTAAAATAGTATCCACGTGTTTGTATGAGGTGCTATTTGTAATGCCGAGGTTGTCCCCCAAAAGCATTGATTCAATCACTTTGACTTCCATGGGAGTGAACAATAAACATATGCCTAGGGCCCCAATAGGAGCCAATGAAGTCATCTTTGCTTCAGAGCTAAACCAGTTTTTCTTCTCTCCACAGCAAATATCTTGACAGTGATCATCCTCTCCCAGCTGGTGGCAAGAAGGCAGAAATCCTCCTACAACTATCTCTTGGCACTCGCTGCTGCCGACATCTTGGTCCTCTTTTTCATAGTGTTTGTGGACTTCCTGTTGGAAGATTTCATCTTGAACATGCAGATGCCTCAAGTCCCCGACAAGATCATAGAAGTGCTGGAATTCTCATCCATCCACACCTCCATATGGATTACTGTTCCATTGACCATTGACAGGTATATCGCTGTCTGCCACCCACTCAAGTACCACACGGTCTCATACCCAGCACGCACCCGGAAAGTCATTGTAAGTGTTTACATCACCTGCTTCCTGACCAGCATCCCCTATTACTGGTGGCCCAACATCTGGACTGAAGACTACATCAGCACCTCTGTGCATCACGTCCTCATCTGGATCCACTGCTTCACCGTCTACCTGGTGCCCTGCTCCATCTTCTTCATCTTGAACTCAATCATTGTGTACAAGCTCAGGAGGAAGAGCAATTTTCGTCTCCGTGGCTACTCCACGGGGAAGACCACTGCCATCTTGTTCACCATTACCTCCATCTTTGCCACACTTTGGGCTCCCCGCATCATCATGATTCTTTACCACCTCTATGGGGCGCCCATCCAGAACCGCTGGCTGGTGCACATCATGTCCGACATTGCCAACATGCTAGCCCTTCTGAACACAGCCATCAACTTCTTCCTCTATTGCTTCATCAGCAAGCGGTTCCGCACCATGGCAGCCGCCACGCTCAAGGCCTTCTTCAAGTGCCAGAAGCAACCTGTACAGTTCTACACCAATCATAACTTTTCCATAACAAGTAGCCCCTGGATCTCACCGGCAAACTCACACTGCATCAAGATGCTGGTGTACCAGTATGACAAAAATGGAAAACCTATAAAAGTATCCCCGTGATTCCCTAGGTGTGGCAACTACTGCCTCTGTCTAATCCATTTCCAGATGGGAAGGTGTCCCATCCTACGGCTGAGCAGCTCTCCTTAAGAGTGCTAATCTGATTTCCTGTCTCTGGCAGACTGGGCAATTCTCAGACTGGTAGATGAGAAGAGATGGAAGAGAAGAAAGGAGAGCATAAAGCTTGTTTTTACTTATGCATTTATTTCCACAGATTCGCATTGACAGCGAAAGTTCCTACCAGTTTGAAGATGCCATTGGAGCTTGTGTCATCATCCTGTGACCAGTTAGGACACAAAGTAGAGAAATAGTCTGTGATTTTGCACTGGTACCATCCACAGTCACTGGGAACCCTTCATTTATGTGACTTACCAAACCCCAGTAGCACATAGCTGAGCCTGCACTCTTCTTCCAAGAGCTGAGGTCATTCATCACTTCCCTGTGCTGTTCCCAGGAGCTAACAATAATGACTGTTTCAGGATTTTTTTCAAGGTGCCCTTTGTCCTAGAGAGGGTTGTGGTCTTGAAGTGGCCCTGGCACTCCTAGCTTCAGAATGACACTGTGGGAATAGAAGAGTATTGGATCCCACCCAAACTCTGGCCAGAGCTGCTTCAGGAAATCTCCAAACCCACATAGCTGTGACCTCAAACCTGGGGTCTAAGAGGCAGTTTTCTATTTATCATTATGTATAGATTTTCTCTATCTCCTCCAAAACAAAGACCCTGCCTGGTGCGCAGGGGGAAAGGAGGAATTCTTGAGCCCAGAAAAACAAAAAAATAAGCCCACACTTGCCATTGTTTCAACCCATTCCTGTGTCAGCTGCATACAATCCCGTTACTCAAAATTGCTTCTTGTTATGGTATCACTCAAGCTTCCTAGAGAAGCTCAAGCCTGTCGAGTTGCCAACCCTGCCTCCTTGCTTGCTGAGGCCCTCACCAAATTGTTTTATTTGAAGTGACTTCCGAACTGAATTTAATATTCAAGGGTCAGGAACTGCAGCTCTGCGGGTATGAGAGGAGGTGTTCTCAGCTCTGCCTCACAGCCCAGCTGGTATTGCCATTTCGCCACAAACACAGACACAAAAGGTGCCCATGCTGACGCCTAGTCTGCCCTTTGACGCACATGGCTTAAAAGGGTGGTGCCAGTTCTTGGTAAAGCTATTTAACCCAGATCCTTTGTAAAATGATAAAATATAAGTGTGTTTATTTATTCTACCCTTGCCTGTCCAAGGCAAGAACACTTCTAGGATGTAATAAATAGGGGCATCCCTGGAAATTGCTACTTATGTGTGCACCACACACACACACACACACACACACACACGCACACACACACGATTATATTCCTCTTATTTAGCTTTTCTTTTTTTTTTTTTTTTTTAACTTCTCTCTGACTCCCAGTATTCGAATTCATCCCTGTTTTGGAATAAATCTGCCAAAATGACTTTGAAATTACATATTTTTGGTGACCAAACAAACAGCAGACAGTCCACCTGAAATATTTAGTTCCTCAGGCTGGATTTTTACTGCATTTTGTCCCTAAGTTGAAAGACATGTCTATCTTTTTTAAGGGAATTTTCAATAAATGAATGGGGTAAGAAAAGGCCCCATGGCAACACAAACCCTAAACTTCAGCCAATGCTGTCAATACTAGTTCAATATAAACTTAGGTTATATTAGTCCTGATGATCCTAATTCTTACCCCTTTTAAAGGATTGCAATAGAATCTCATCAGAGCCAAGGATTAGATTCTAAAGTCAGTGCAAAAGATAAAACCTTACAGAGCCAAAGTTACCTTTGCAAAAGATCCTCAAAAAACAGCCATGTTGGAGATTATATTCCATTGCTTTCAAAACCTAACACAGCTAAGTTTTTCTCTGGCACTGGAACAAGTTGTTGTTTATCTGGCTGATGACAAGGCAAAATTGGCTCTCATTTAGGGACCATATTGTGTGATTCTAATGTATCTGAGAACATTAGGACCACCCTGGTGCATCAAGATGCTTCCACTGAAAGAAGTTCATGGAAGTCGTCTGACTGAGGGACAGATCTCCCATCTCCCACGCTCCCCAGGGCGTATGCTCATTGAGTGGAATGGTAAGCAGATTCTCTCACCTCCCTTAAATTGCATTTCTCTCTGTCTCTTTTTTGCCAAGCACGTGTAATTGGACATGTGTTCATTAAATGTGTGTATGATGCAATTCCACCACGCCCCCTCATGAATGGACATTGACCAAAGGCTACCTATACTGAATATATATAGATATATATAAATATATTTATTTATTTATTTTTTAAACACCTAGCTCTGAAAAATGCTAGTCTGAGCTATACATGAATGAGTCAAAGTGCAATATCTACAAAGGTTAAGCAATTCCTTTTTGAGAACGTACATAAAATGAAATTTATGTATGTGACTCTCCATGCTCTCTGCTCCACGTTTTTAATTGTATGTAACAATTAATTGTTGATGTGTAGAAACTGGGTGTGCATTGGGAACATTTTCCTCTGACACTTTAATTTATTACTTCTCTTGATGAGAGAGGCTCTACCACGTAGTATTGTGATCTCTTTTCCTCTGAATATGTTTTATATTTTGCTAAATGATATTTAAAAGAGGTCCAATTCTCGAAGGCACTCTAGTGAATTGCTGTCTTCTGCTTAAAATGCAAATGAATGCCCATTGGGTTAGGTTGATACATATCTCTTAAAATTTATTTCAAATTATCTAAGGACTTTTAATTTCTTATTATTTATAGTAATAATTTTGGACATCATGTAATGGGTTTTTTTGACTTTAAAACTTTAAAAACCTGTAAGCCTTTTCTTTCAGGCCAGTTTTAACAATAAAGCCTTGAATTTTGAAGCCTGTCATGTAAACGGCTGCTGCTGGTGGCACTAAAGCAATTGCCTTATCCTGGGTTTTTGTGGTGCCTCTTTCAAAGACGGTTAACTAGCTTCTCTCTTGCTACATGATTTGTGTCCTTGGTTGGACATTGCAATGATGATACGCACCACCATGCTGTGTCTTTTTATTGAACAACTTGATGGCTGAAATGTCTCATGGGGAAGGAAATGAGGGGAATGACAGACAAACCATAAAAGACAGACCGGAGTGGGCATGAACTTGTGTGTTGCGAACACCCTGCTATTGGAAAAGATCACTTTGCACAGTTGGTACCTCCTGGTTCAACATGGGGAGCCTACCAGACGTGAATAAAAGACTCTAATGTTGGCTATTCCAGTTCAAAGAATGGAATAGAGAGTTACCATAGAAAAAAAGCAAATGTTCATATTTTCTTAATTAGATTATATATTGTGTTTGGACTTGTTTGTATTATAATAAATTCTAATATGGTGCGCACTTGGTGTTTGGTATTTGCATCTATGTTCAAGCAATTGCAGTATGCTGATTTTTATTACTATTATTTTTAATTGATAAATCATAATTGTATACATTTATGGGATACAATGTGATGTTTTGATATATGTATACAATGTGGAATAATTAAATCAGGCTAAATTAACACATCTGTCACTTCACTTATCATTTTTTTGTGGTGAGAAATTTGAAATTTATTACCTTAGTTATTTTGAAATATACATTGTTACTGACTCACTCACCCTGCTATGCAATAGATCTCAAAATTTATTTCTTCCATCTAACAGACTTTGTGCCATTTGACAAACATCTCCCATTCCCTGCTTCTCACCTACTTCCAGCCTCTGGCAACCATCATTTTACTCTCTACTTCTATGAGTTTGACTCTTTTGGATTCCACATATAAGTGAAATCATATAGTATTTTTTCCTTCTGTGCCTGGTTCATTTCACTAAGCATGATATCCTCCAAATTGCACAATGCTGGTTAAAACATTTAACATTTAAGTGGACATCTTTCTTATACATTGTGCTGGGTGCTAGAATAAAACCAGAGTTCCACCTGCCTCCTGGTTAGCAGATATACTTCAGAATTTAAGACCACTGAACGTTGTTCCCTATAATCCTAAATTAGGTAGTTTACTGGGTATAAATCTGAATTCGCTTCTGATCATATCCTCCGTACATCTTTGAGACAGTGATGGATGTATTAATAATCATAACTGGAAATCCAGCACCATGTCTAAGAGCTTAGGCTTTGATGTCAGACAGTCACGAGTTCATGTCCCATTCCACCATTTACTAGATGAATGGCCTTGAGCAAGTCCTTGGAGATTTCCTAAGGACTATCCTCATCTAGAAAATGGTGCACAATTTAAATTTTTTCCAGTTGTCTTCAAGGTATATAGAAACTCTGATAGTCTGGAACCCAAGATTTGGAGTCAGTTATTACAGGCTATAACTTTGCTGGCTGTGTGAACTTAAGCAATGTTCTCAATCTCTCTCTCTGAGTCTCAATTTTCTCTCCATAAAATGGAGCTAATTACAATTCCAGTAGGTAACTTATAAAGTGATTATTAGTAGCAGAGTTTTTTTAAAAGCCTCCAATTGTACATTATTTTACAGGTGAGGATGCTAGGCCCAAAGAGGTGAATGAGCTGGGCCTGAGTGGAACCCAGGTCACTCAACACTCCATCCTTTTCACTTCACCTCATTACCTTCTTTGCAAAATTCTAAGTCATTCCCTCAAAACATCACATTGTTTTTATGCCCATTTTAGAGTTGAGTATATTGCATAATTTTGCAACTCTTCAAATCCAGATCATCCAAGCATGATATATATATTATAACAGCCTCATAATTAAAACTCTCAGCTTGACCTTTCCTTGTGAGTAGAACTTTTTTTTAATTGACTCTATGTGGAATCCTAACCATAGCTCTCAAACTTGCTATGCATTTTCCCACACAAACCACCATCAATTCTGACAGCCACCCACAAACTATTGTCACAATCCATCTTTGCATCAACTTGGAGAATAAAAGTGACTTCGGAGTTGAGGGGGAAGTGCAGAAAAGCAAAGAATTTGCTGAAAGGGTGGCAAACAGAAGCTGTTGGGCATGGTCACAGCAGCCTCATTAATTTTGTCCTCCAATTCAGGGAGGCAGGATAAAGGAGAGTTGAAGGAGGTTGAACCATTAAATAATAATCCTTTTATTAGTGCACTCAGCTAAATGTGATAGTCCGGCCTCTTTGGAGACTGTGCAATTAATCCCATGTACTTGCCAGACACAACAAGGGGGATAAGAGGCTCGTGTCTACTGGGATAAATAGATACTGTGAATTTCCTGGGCTTATTGGCAGAATGTGCCACTGTCATGCCAAAAAAAAAAAAAAAAAGCAGAGGAGGGGAATGTTCTGATTTAAAATGAGTAAATAGGGCCACAGGGAAGAGAGATGTCTTCTCATCAACTCAGCATGAGGAGTTGCCATGCCTTTCGAGCTTTGTTATCGAGAGAATGGCAGAATGACATTTCTCTCCACTGGAGATGGAACAAGAGAATGTAAGACTTCAACTGCAGTATGAGAGTTCCAGATTAAACCCAAAGAAGAAATCATTATAGAAATGCCATATTAACACCACAAATGATTTTCAGTGGAAGTTCTTAGAATCTGCTTTTCTGGACATATTTCAAAATGGGTTGTCGATCAGAGTCTTACATGGAACCAAATCTCAATCAGATGGTTTCATGAACTGACTTTAACAAAAAATCTGCTAACAATGGCTTGAGCAAGATTAGGGGAACTTGTGAGAGGTGAAGCTTCCTGTGAGGAAGCTTTCCATTAGCTGTTGATGTACCTTGGAACTAGAAATAACAGGAAGCTTTACCTCTCCTAATGAAGCAATGAGAGGAAAGGATGTTAGTGGACCTCAGTGAGGTCTAGAGCCTAGTAGACCTCAGTGAGGTCTAGAGCCTTGGAGGAGGGACCTTCCAGCAAGAAGGGGCCACACTACAGTCAGAGATACGATGCCAGAGTGGAAGGAATGCCTCTCTCTTCCTTACCTCTGGTATGCTGATGCTGCCCACTGGTCAAGTTCAAACAGAAGCCAGTCAGTAAAAGACAGCAGGTGGTGCAGTCCACAGTGGGAAGACCCCAGGGCACAAGCCAGTGAAGAATAATAAAGTGAGACAGGAAGCAATCGCAGAATAACCACAAAGGTTAAATTCTTCTTTTACTATCACAGAACCATTAGAAAGCCACAGAGGATCTTAGAGACTATTTCACTCAAAGATCAAAAAAGAAAGCTAAGGCCCGAAAGAACCCCTCATCCAAAGCTACACAACCTAGTCATTAGTAGATCCTCTTTCCAATGATCTTTCTGTACAGTTCCCAGAAATATAGAATAGATTATATA